TTCAGCCCAATTTGAGAGCACAGCGGACCATCGACCTCCCCACCGCGGCCAATGCTCCTTGAGGGATAGGATTAAGAATTATTTAATTGAAATTAGTTCCATGTAAATATTTTTATTTTATTTTATTTTTTAATAAAAAACTTAAAAAAAGAATACAGCTGTCTTCTCCGCATATATGGGGGACAAGCTGCAATTTCACTCATGAGACCTATGTAAATTATTTTCAATTATTTTCAATTATTTAAATGTTTTTATTTAGCTGCATGTCATTCTCTTTAGCTAGACCGTCTATCTAGCATACCATAGTGGCTCGGGGCAAGTTGCCCGGCCGGGCAAAAATAGAAGTAAGAAAAAAAAAATAGTTTTTTGTTTTTTGAGGTTTTGTAAAGAATTTCAACGTGAGTCATGCAACCCTCAGGCAAAACATGCTCAGTTTTTTTTTGTTTGTTTTTTTTACAACTTTGCGTTATAAACTGGGAAACGTACCCGGCTTCCCTCACATGAATGTCATAGCCGAACCAGGCTTGGAGAGGATGTTGAGTTTATTTTTGTGCATCACGTAGTTTCTTTTCAGATTTTGTCTAGGCTTCCAGAGTGGCCTGGGGCCACTTGCCCGGCCGTCCCCAAAAAAATAAAAAAATAAAGAATCAAAACTATATGTTTTAATTTTATTTTGTATCTCAAATTTGGTAAAGAATTTCAATGTGACCCTGAGGCAAAAGTTGTTCAGTTTTGTTTTTCAGCATAACATAGTTTGCTTTCTGATTTTTTTTTTTTTTTTTTTTTTTTTGGACATTCCCTGGTCCTTGCACGGCCAGACCGCCCGGGAAAACAAGGTGACCCGGGTGGCCCGGCCGGTAGCCTAGGATTTTGTGGATTTTTTTTGCAAGGAAAATGAGCAGTAGTGAAATGACAGATTTTCAAATTTGCAAAATCACATTGTAAGCCAGGAAGTCCCACACTGTCCAGAAAGCAGAAATGGCCCAATATTACACCAATGGAGAACAAAACACTGAATCCGAGTGTCAATGAGAGCACACTCTCGCCATCACCAACATAAGTATCCCGAGTCCTTTCCCTACTTGGCGCTCAGCGCCCATGCAGACTATCACCAAGACCAGGTATGTGCCCTCACGTCATCACCCTCATCACCCTCATCTCTCTCTCTCTCTCTCTCTCTCTCTCTCTCTCTCTCTCTCTCTCTCTCTCTCTCTCTCTCTCTCGTCCTTGTCTCTCACCCACGTCTTCTTCCCCATGCACGAAGACCACCACTACACCTTGCCTTATCCCCAAGCTTGGCCGGCTATGGAAGCCGAGCTATGGTGCTGCCCTCAACAGCGCCCTTCACACATGACCACACGTGCACGAGCACCTCGCCTAGTCGCAGCCTACAACACGGAGCACAGGCTCAAGCAGCCGCTGCCGCACAAATGGCAAGTGCCCGAATGAATTACCAGGCAGCAAACTTCTTCCTATATGGAAAGGGGCTGGCCTGGTCGGCTGCCTGGCTGGGCTGGGCCTGTGCCTGGAAGCTTCGGGTAGGCCCTGCTGCCTGGGCCTCGTTCGGTCACAGCCCCAAACTGCCTGTCGTGCCTGCTCCAAGAGAGGCCTAGAAGGCCGAAACAAAGTGTTGCTGGCCGTGGCCTGGGCTCCTTCAACTGACGCGACGCAACTGCCTGAACCCCAAATGCGAAATTGACAACAAGGGGCCTCTCATAATTTTGTCAGGCCCGCCTTCACTCAGGGCGGGCGCACATTGCAATTGGGGCCCCTGAGGCCTACCGAGGAGCCTGATCCTCGCATGCCCTCCTCCTTTACTTCGATAGTCCCCTGAGAAGTCCTTTAATTTGCAGGCGATTTCCCTTTGAGTCTTCGTTCATATCCTGCAATCACTTTGGGAGTTGTCTGTTGCAGTTCCTTCTTTTTGGTAAACCACTGATCTTCACTTGGATCAGCATGGTATCTGAATCTGACACGGTACTGCATCCTTGGCTTTGGAGGTCGGCCTCTGCCGGGAGGTTTAGGCACAAGCATAGTTCTGTGCTCCACAATGTCATCAATTCTGACTTCGCTGTCCATGGTTGGGGGCAGCATTGATCGTCTGGAAGGGAACTGTGCAGTTTCTGCGAAAGGTGCTAGACTGGGTGTGTGCACAAGTGAGCAGGGATGCGAATCACATAGGAGGGTCCATCTATCTGATCCCCAACTATATCCAGGACCTCCCAGGGACCAAAATACTGAGGCATTAGTTTTCGTGAGGTTCCCAACTCTGACCCAGTTCAGATTCACCTACCTGAAACTCAGATGGCCGTCTGTGTCAGTTCTCAAATGCAACCATGGCATCTTGAGCTTTCCTAATGTGTTCTACAGCTTGTTATAGGATCTGTTCGTACTTGACAGAAAACTCGATGCTGCCGGGTGCTGCAGTTGGCTGATTTTCAGGTAGCAGGAAGTGCGGATCTGGGCTTCCAACCAAGATGCCGTTGGGAGTCATGCCAGTAGTTCTCTGCACAGCGTTATTATACAGGCTGGCGCCGAGGGGTAATTTCTCGTCCCAGTCATCCGAACTTGGCTTGATGTATTGCTGAAGAATGTACCGCACTACTCGGTTCATCTGTTCCGCCTGGCCATTTGACTCAGGGTGATTCCCTGATGTCATTTGCAGTCGGGTGCCCATTCGTTGGGTTTTTTTTTTTTTT